GAACAGACTTTAGAAGGAACCAGAAACCCAATACTAAACAGATAAATCTCTACATTTGCTCAAAAGAACAGGTGAAGAATCTCTATCTATAAAAGGCAGGGATGTGTGTGTGTGTGTGTGTGTAACTAAAACGGCTGCAATTTTCGACGGATTTGCACCAAAATCTACATGCACATGCTCCAAGTTAGCAGGAAGCCCAAGACCTCTATTGCATTTCCCAACTCCCATCGATAGTGGAAATAATTAATTTTTTCATGCTTCTACGGCATTTTTTCATGTAGTTTGCGGCTTTTTCTACTGGCCAGAGTGATTAAGCCTATAGCTGGCTGCCACGAATAGGTAGGAAGATTTTATTGGCTAGCGTGAGAGCCAACAGCTGACTGACACGAATGTTAACTAGCATGCTAGCATGCAAAAAACATCGATAGCTGCATTCGTCACAAGTGGGAAAAATTTAAATCTGCACAAAACTTTTTTCCAATTGGCTCATTCGCTAATTTAAACTCAACGTTGATTCTGATTCCGCAGAACTGGGTTGGGTGTGAAAAAGTATTTGTTGTTAACATTCTTTTTCATTCGGTTTTAAAAGTTATGAGTCCTTTTTTTTAAAAGCTGATCGTTTTGTGTTCATTTTGTTTAGTTCTTTTTCGTAACAGATTTAATGCTTGGTATAGAGCTTAGAAAAAATTCGCAGTGTGAGATAGGCAAGAAGTAAGGCATGTAGCAACATCAGCACGGCAATGGGCACTCCTTTAAGGGCAAGGAAGTGCAAAAATGTTTTAAGTCAAGTGATAACGATTGCTGTATTTTTGAATCAAGCACGGGCAACGCCGAGCCATGCTGATAGTCTGTTATGTTTACTTCCGAAAATGTTGTTTTATTCAGAAAGTTTCAATTTAAAGACAAGACAACTTACTTTTCTCTGTCAGTAGGACGGGGAGTCGGCTAGTGTATAAAAGGAGCTAAAAGAAAAATTTACTGCGACGATGTCTAAAGCATTTCAAAGAGAATAATCTCTGAGTCTATGAATTAGACACCAATAATTTTTATATCAGAATTTTCCCAGAAATTATTCTTTGGAAAGCCGCAGATGTTACTATGAAACAGTTAACATGTTATAAGTTGTGCTTGTTGTAATCGACACACGATGCCAAATATTATTTACATTATGATTAATGTCCACATCGAGGTTGTTATTTTTATTTTATTTTATTATTTTTAACCATTTTACCCCGGACGAAGTCGCTTATACCACAAGTACGTAGGAGTGGGTAGGTGGAGTGAAAGTGAAAGAGAAGATTGAGAATAGAGAGAGGATTGAGGAAAGAACAAAAGATGAACGGGATTCAAGAAGACAGAAGATGGCGATTGATATTGCCTTTTAAATTTTGGAGATTGTAGTTATCAGGGAAGCAAGAAAACGGAAGAGACTTCCACAGATTGGTAGTGCGATAGAAGAAACTGCTGGAGTAGAAGAGACGGATGCATTTCGCTCTTTCAACAGAAAAAGGACGAAACCTTGATACCAATCTAGTAGCATGCTCAAATTAATATACTCGGTGCACCAGGGCGGGGAAGCTCGTCAGACTAGTTACCATGAAAATATTTGTAGAACAGACAGAGGGAATCCACGTCACGCCGGCGAGAAAAAATCGAGATGTCGGTTCAAGACCGATTAAATTACAGATCGTTCTTTGAATTTTGTCAAGAATCTCTAGATGTACAGCCTTCTTCAGGTGGCTGTTAATACGGGTAACCTCAGAGGAATTTCGAATTGAACCATTTATTAAATCTACGTGGGTAGCGTTTTCTCGTTTCATATCTGAGGATATTTTATTTTGTTCAGCTTATCCTGTTTCCTATTGAATCTAAGTCTGTCATACAAGGATGGAACGAAAATCTGTGTTTATCTGCAAATAAACAATGCAGTTATTAATGTGAAGAGTTGAAATTGATGTATGAAAGATTTCGCAGGTGTAGCATCATCCCTTCATAGTCAACCTATGAACTTTTCAGCCCACATTCGGACATGGAAGGAAAAAATGCCGTTATTAATAAGAAGAATTAAATTTTATTGCATACCAGATTTCTCATTTCTAGCATAAATTCTTCATATATGAAGTTTTAAGCCCAGCCTCTTACTTGAAATGGAGTTATTAATTAAAAGAGTTGAAATTAATACATGCAAGATTTCACATCTCTAGCATTATTCCTTCATAGTCAGCCTACGAACTTTTCAGCCCACCATCGTACCTGGAAAGAAACAATGCTGATATTAATAAGAATTGTTGAAATGAATGCATGCAAGATTTCACAGCTCTAGCATCAATTCTTCATAGTCAGCCTATGACATTTTCATCCCAGCATCGTACCTGGAAAGAAATAATGTACTTATTAATAGAAAGAGTTGAGATTAATTCATTCAAGATTTAAAGCTTTTGTATCACTCCTTCAAAGGCAGTCTATGGAGTTTTCGGCCCAATCTCTTACTTCAAAAGAAACAATGCAGTTATTAAGAAGAGTCGTAATTAAAGCATGCGTTATTTCCCAGTTCTAGTAGCACTCTTGCATCGTCAGCCTATGAACTTTTTCAGCCCATTCTCGTATTTGGCCGCATTTTCCTGAAGGTTACCCTGACTGGCACACACCTACAGAAGAGCTCAGCGGCCGCAACGTTTTGATAAAATCACAAAGATAAGGATATTAGTCTGAATGTAAATAATGTAAATAATATGTATTAGAGAAGCAGTCTTTTCAGCGTTTAAGAATTTTCATTATTTTTAAAAAGGACCTGTTTTATTTTCAGCGTTGGCTTGATAACGAATGCAAACGTTCTTCAACTGTGAAATCAAGCTCTTCCTGATCAATCCGTCATGAATACATTATCATACTTATAAAACCCTTGTTGTGTGTGTGTGTCTGTTCGTGTATATATTAGATCTGATTTCTTACATTTGTCAACCGATTTCAACAAAACTTCACAGGACTACGTAGAATTACCTTGCGGTGGTTCTGACAGCGCTAAAATTGGAAAAACACAATTGTTTTTGCACAAAATCAATTTGAAAACACGATTAAGAGGCATCGCTATCACGAGAATGAAAGGGGGACAACTCATATCGAGTTATACTTATTATAAAACCCAGGTTGTTTGTTTGTGTGTGTGCGTGTGTGTGTGTGTGTGTGTGTGTGTGTGTGTGTGTGTGTGTGTGTGTGTTCGTTTATATATGGGATCGGATTTCCTACATTTTCAACCGATTTCAACAAAAATTTTTTTTTTGGCAGGTGGTGTTTCTTATTGTCTTTTTTTTTTTCTTTATTTTTACATTCAGAACGCTTAAAAAATTCCATTTACAAGACAAATGTTTATAATAAAATTCTATTCAATCGGTAGACTCATAACGATTGAAAAACAATGTTTTGTTTGAGTTTGGGTTTGACCAAAAAAAAAAAAAAAAAAAAAAACTAATTAAGACATGCGTGTCCATCAACCTTTAAACAATAATCTTTGTCAATTTTATTTTTCAGTTGTTATGATGGTCGATACTTGATCTATCTCTTACTGTTACATCCCCAGGCAACGCTTTTTGAATGGAACCCTTTATTTAATCTACGTGGGTAGCGTGTTTCCGTTTTGCTGTCCGTGTCTGAGTAAAATTTGTTTTGTTCTGCTCACTTCTTCCTTTCTCTTGTATCGGTTTTCATCCTGGTTGGGTTGAACCGGCTTCCTCCCGAGCAAGTACAGCATCACGGACCATCGCTGCCCATGCTCGCTGATCCTGAGTCAGGTAACACGAAATGGCGAGTCAATCGCGATGCCATCGTCGAAGACCGACTACTTGTGGACCCGACAGTACTGCTAGGTCATCCTTGATTGTGCTAGCCCACGTCCTCAGCTGCCGACACGTTTTCGCCAGCCAGGAAGAGAAGGAGGGAGAAGTACTTCGTGGATGAGTTCTCCCTCCGGGCGTCGAGCTGCGTGCCCGAACCATCGGAGACGACGCTGGAGCAGGACGGGTGGAAGAGGGCGGAGACTCGGGCGACGACGTAGAGTGGTTGCGGGCACACGATCGATTCGGCGGCATCGTAGAATTCAGCGAAGGCAATCGTTGTCGAACACTTCAAGCCTTCGTAGGTCAACCGCTCTAAGTGGCCACGTTTCGCAGCCATAGAGAAGGATAGTCCGTACAATAGCCTGATAAATGCGCCCCTTCGTAGCCGTGGAAATCTCCCGTCGCCCCCATAGTGACTGCTTGAGACGCACGAATGCGGACCTTGCAGATCCTATACGGCGTTCAACCTCAGCAGCAGCCTGCCCGGATGGTATAATGGTTGAACCGAGATAGACGAAAGACAGCACGTCATCCAGATTGACCCCCATCCAGCGTCAGTGGCTGCCAGTTGACTGGATCAACAAGGGACGGCATAACTTTGGTCTTCGAGGCATTGATGGTCGTACCCACATTCCGTGCTGCAGCTTGCACACGGGTGAGCGCAGTTTGCGCATCGTCACAGTTCGATCCAACCAAGACAATGTCGTCCGCGTAGGCCAGATCAGACACCCTGACATTCCGACCAACCGCAACACCAACGTAGTCCCGAAGGTCCCTGCCGAGGATGTAGTCGATTGTATAGTTGAATAGGGTAGGGGATAGCTCACTTACTGTTCATCCGGTTTAAATGTGTCATACGACGTTGGGCGGAAAGATTCACAGGCTGACGGGTAAGGAGTGATGCTAGAGCTGAGAAAGCATTGTCCTCATAAAAGAGATTCAAAGTGAAATTAGTTGTCTTGCTTTAAAGTGCGTAGAGTTGCCTGTTGAGGCTTATTACACTTCAAAAGCCGGAAGGATTTAATATCAAAATCTGAATGCAGTTTGATTTACAGGCTATCCATGTTTAGTGGTTGCTGTTCAAATGAAGCCGAGATCAAACCCAGTATCCCTGCTATGTGATCGGAAAGATTATTTTACTGATCGTCGTCTTTTGGCCCAAAATGCTTACGGTCATATCACATTGAAACGCCGGTGCTTGTTCGATCAACGAAGTTAAGCAACTTCGAGCCTATTCAATACTTGATGGTTGACCGCTTGGGAATACCAAGTGCTGTAAGCGTGGGTGTGCGGATGGTGTATTAATAACAGCTCAGAATAAGAAATCGGAGATCCGGGTTCCAATTTCAGTCAGATTCGTTATTTTCACTTTCGCTCAAATGATCTTGGGGAAGCTATGGATCTATTTTTTCTCCCTCCAGCTAGGGGTTAATTAGTGGAACTTGTATCAATAAATCATCATATATACCCTAAAAATTCTTGCAAATCTAAAAATATTTTCTGGATTTCACTAACCTTCATAAGGTTGATAAACCATAAAAAAAGAAATGTGGTCACCACTCCGCTGTGGTTAATGGTGATATTGAAGGCAGAATAGTGAGATTACTTGCCTGTTCTTTTTGCACAGAGAATATTGAGGTTACCCCATCCCTTCTCTCAGAGGTTCCTCAGTTCACTGGTAAAGCTGTTGACATCTGAGGGGTAGTTCCTATATTCAGGCTGGTGACTGGCCGATGGCTGCTTGGCACTGGCAGATTGGATCGGGAAACACTTCCGACTACACTCTTTAGCCACCAGGTTGATGCCATTGACTGAGGTTCGCTGCCGCAGTGCCTATGCTAATTTTTGGAGCCATTTGGGCAAGTTGGATGTAGGTCAGTACAGTTCGCATTACAATTTACCGACAGGGTCGACAGCTTCGTTGCAAAGATACTTCCGCTGACAATACACCCCATAAGATTTCATAAAGCCAGTCAATACGTTTAATGAATTTCCTACTAAACAAATGCTATGACAAACATTTGCAGGATATAATTTTTGTAAGCAATACATCGTCTGAGTGGAATAATATCTGTTTTATTTTGCAGCTAATAACTTTTTTGCTTGTTGTTTTATGATATTGTTGAGGTAATATTAATATATATGGCCATTTGTAGATGTCTGTTTGTTAACATGAACTCACGATTTATATTTAGCGCAAAATACGACAAAAATATGAAACGACAAGAATGAACAAAAACGGTTTTATAACAACAAGATGTATATTTATTTTTTTTGTGTAAGGATGTACATGCATAGAGGTTACTATTTTGTTGGTGTTATCCCCCTTTGACTGAATTCGTCCTGGGTAAGACGTTAAACTACATCCGCGTCCTGGGTAAGACGTTAAACTACATCCGCGTCCTGGGTAAGACGTTAAACTACATCCACGTCCTAAGTAAGACATTAAACTACGTCCAGCAGCAAGGCCTCTGATCAGGAGGTTTTAAGGAGCGTGGAATTGCTGGTGTTCCCAGGTCCACCCTGATCCGGGGTGGTAGCACCTGTTAGGGTCCCAGCTGTGGGCAAATAGTTAACTATTACCAGCAATACTTTTCTGAAAAAAAAATATTACCAGCAATACAATTTTGAAAGAAAATATATTACCAGAAACTGATTTTTGACAAAACAAAATATTATCAGCAATAAAAATTTTTGTCAGCATTAAATAACCCATTGAGGTTGATATGCCGTAAAACAAAATAAACCAAACCAATCTAAACCAAAGAATACATACTCTATTCATACGAATCTATCCTAAAAATGTTGTCGGAATTAAATAACCCATTGAGGTTGATATGCCTTAAAACAAAATAAACCAAACCAAACCTTTGACTGAATTAAATTTTTACTGATGAAATTGAAATATTTTTATCTGAGCTCACAAAAGTTGAATGAATTATAAATCTGAGAAATGCTGAATAAACATTTAGTTTAAAAGAGGATTTTAAAGAGACAAGTTCTTGTTGCTTGTTTAGAAATGTTTCGTATGTTTGTAATGTAAGTTGGAAATTTTCGTATGTACGTGCATGCGTAAATATGCTTTCATGGGCGTCAAGAGGGGGATCTTTTAAGGTCACGTTTTCGTAGGAAAACAGAAAAGAGAATGAACAAACTCGTGTCTGCTATTTATAATTAATGTAACCACGTGACAGGCTCGAAAGATAAAAGCGGAAAAATTTGACTTGGTCACGCGCTGGAAAAATATTTGTACGCGGGTGGATTGCAATGCCCACTTGTGTGTTTTTTGGCCAATTAAAAGCTGAGATTGGAAAAAAATATGCATTAATTTTGAATAAGCTCTTTGATCATTTTTTTTGCACAGATTTGTATAAAATTCAACGTTGATAAGAAAGTGGCATCGGGATGCTAAAATATAAGCAGAGTGAAACAGATTTTTGTCTGCATAAGGACACAAAAGATAGCGCTTTATATGCAGGTATACTTGATACATTTTAAAAATAATTTTATTTTTGTATAAAATCTGTTGGATATTCTGTAGCATTCAGCAGACGTTCAACTATTGATTTTGGAAAATTTACATATTTTATTGAGTTTAACAATATTTGCAGCAGGTGTTATCGTTTCAAATATCTTCTTCTTCTTCTTCTTCTTCTTCTTCTTCTTCTTCTATGTGCATTGTTCCTTCAAGTTGTTGGCGATCATGGCTTTCTACAATGTCTTCTTCTTCTTCTTCTTCTTTTTCTTTTTCGTGCCATGTTCCTTCAAGTTGTTGGCGATCATGGTCATATACAATTTCCAAAAGATTATACCAAAATAAAATTATTTTTAAAATAATAAAATATCAGTCTATTCATTTACATGGTATGTATCAAGTATACCTGTATATAAAGCGCTATCTTTTGTATTTATATGCAGACAAAAATCTGTTTCACTCTGCTTATATTTTAGCATCCCAATACCACTTTTTCGTATGTTGAATTTTGTACAAATCTGTGCAAAAAATGGATCAAAGAGCTTATTCAGCTGAATGCACATTTTCGGGAAATCTCAACCTGATCCCATAGAGAGCGGTGATCTCCCTTTTGAAACCATATGTGGTCAGCCACGCCTGATTTTCTCACTTCCCCTCGTGTTACAGCTATCTGGTGTTCTTGAAGCCTTACCTTAAGAGGGCTGCCTGTCTCCCCTTTATATTTCTTTTCGCGGCTAAACGGAATAGAATACGAAGTCTATAGTCATGTTCTCTATGGAGGGGTCTTACTCGGGAGAGATATCTGCGAAGTGTCGTCAAGCTTTCCAAGGTTGTCATGATATGTTTTATATTAAATAGAGTACATGCCTCATCTCAGAAATATAGACAGATACAAGAATGGATATAGCATAGTATTCTAGCATTCGCTCCTTTGTTTCGAAGGACTTTTTCCTGTTTATCAGTACGTTGCATAACTTTTGGGATGTCTCTTTCGCTGTGTGTTACGATTTCGGCGTCGCATTTTCTTAACAGATATTTAAACCTTTGTACTTGCTTGATGTTGACATCTCCAATTTAAAACTCGCCTCTTGGGCATTTCCTTTCTGATGACCATACTTTAGATCTAGATTGTCAGTTGATACTCAGTTCTTTTCGTTTGCTACACTGTCTAGGAGGTCCTGTAGTTTTCTTTCCGTACCAGCCGTCAACACGGTTTCGTCTACTTATCTAAAAATGTTAAGATTACGCCCACAGATAATAAAACATAATAAGGTCTTAAAATCACTTAAGCTGGCCACGCTGTAGAGTTTCAATAAATCTTGAGAATATATAGACACTTGTCTCATGTCATTTTCTATTTTTGTGCAGCGATTCAAATCATTTTCTATACTTTCAAGTAGTTACGGTGGAGTAATGGATAGCGGCTCGGATTGAGGAATCGGAGATCCGAGTTCGAATTTCTGTCGAATCCATTACATTCACTTACGTGCTAATACCCTTGGGAAAGGTATGAATCCTCTTCTTCTTCTCCCACCCAGCAATGGATGAATAGCAGGACAGACCGGGCAGCTCGGATTGAGGAATCGGAGAGCCGGGTTCGAATTCCTGTCGAATCCATTACATTCACTTACGTGGAAAAGGGTATGAATCTTCTTCTTCTCCCCACGTCTACGGGTAAATAACAGGTCAGACCGGCTTCTATAGGCTTGGATGGCCACTGGTCTACCACAGAAAGATATGGCAACCTACTGCGGGAAAAAATCTGCCTCGTCAGTCATGCATCGAAAGATAAATGATCGAGTAGTTACACAATTATTCTAACATCCTTTCCAAGTAGATCTAATTTTTCTGATATTTCAACTATGTATATCTATCTGCTCATATCTATCGTTTTACATCCGCGCCCAGGGTAAGACGGTAAACTATGTCCAACAGCAAGGCCTCTGATCAGGAGGTTTTGTGGAGAGTGGAACCACCTCTTAATTGCTGGTGTTCTCAGGTCCACCTTTATCCGGGGTGGTAGCACCTGTTAGGGTCCCAGCTATGGGCAAATAATTAACACCCAAACTTGTGTAAAAATGGGTTTTAATACCAGAAATACTTTGTAGTAAAAAAAAAAAAAGAAAAAGGAAATCGTTCAAATATATATCTATACATACACAGCTTTTTTTTTTACCAAACTATCACTATGAATCTATTTCAAAATTTTGTTGGCATTAAATAACTCAATGAGGTTGATATGCCATAAAAAACCCAAAAAACAACTGTTCATATCTATCAACCAAATATTCATATCTATCTATCTATCTATCTATCTATCTATCTATCTATTCCAGTCTGTTCATATCTATCATCATTTATTAGATAAGAATGCAATAAATGACTGTTTCAAATCACAAACATGGACTGTAATGACATGAAAATTGGATTTATTTACTTTAATTTCATTTTTAAAAGGTTATGCTCGTTCAAAATGTTGGCTGATTCCTTAATTATCTCTGAATTGGCCATAACTTCTTGGGAAATGTTTCCCATTGACTGCTCTTGGAGTCGGCTCTTTCCTAGACTGGCTGTCAATGAAGGTTAAATGAATCCAGTCTACTCTGATATTTAATTCATGCTTTTGTGACGTACATTATCAAATGCTTTTACGTAATCTATAAACATAACTTGAAGTTATTAGATTACTCCACATTCCATAGTTGTGTTTACGGTCGTATCACGTTGAAACATCGGTTCTCGTAGGATCAGTGAAGTTAAACAACGTCGAGATTGGTCAGTAACTAGATGGGTGATCGCTTGGGAAGACCAAATGCTGTAAAATTGGATGTGCTTGTGGATAACAGCTCAGAAATTGAAGACGGGAGACGATTTCGAAATCCAGTCGGGTTCTTTGTATTCCCTTAAGTGAAAATTCCCCTTGGAAAGGTATGAATTCCCATCTTCTCTCTCCCCAGCTATGGGTAAATTAGTACGTCATATGTCGGTAAATCATTATCTCGAAAAAATTCCTTTGAAATGTAACAATGATTATTTATTCATCTATGTATATAAGTTAATTCAATATCTATCTATCTATCTATCTATCTATCTATCTATCTATCTATCTATTTTGAGATTATTTAAATCTACCTATATATTTGAAATTATTTCTATCTATCTATCTATCTTTATTTGAATTTATTTACCTATATCAGTCTATCTATCTCCCTTTATTCAGTATATATATATATATATATATATATATATATATATATATATATATATATATATATATATATATAAGAAATATTGTTTTAAGGTTTGCGATATTTATGGCATGAAGAGCTCAGTATCAGATATAGAGCGTATGTAAATATAAAAGTGAACATTGAAGTCAACACTCAGAGGCCACAGACTGTTTCATGTTAAACACAGTCACCAGGTGGGCTGATGACTGCGTTTAGAATGAAACATTCTCTCACCCCTATTCTGACTGGATATTCAACACAAACACACACACACACACACACAAAAACACATATATATATATATATATTCAGTATTTCTATCTATCTGCCACTCCATCAATTTTCATTTAGTATCTTCGTCTTTATTCAGTATCTAACTTCCTCCCATTTATCTATCTTCATTATCATTCCCAATTTATCATTATTCAGGATCTCTCTTTCTCTAACTCTTTCTCTCTATCTTTATTCAATATCTATTTCAATCATCTATTATCTAAAAATTCTATCTATCTATCTATCTTCAGCATCTGTCTTTCTATTTTCATTCAGTATCTCTCTCTATTTTTATTCATTATATTTTTCATCTATCTTTCTTTATTCAGCATCTCTATCTATCTATATTCATTATCTATCTATCTATCTCTCTCTCTCTCTCTATCTCTATATCTATATATATATATATATATATATATATATATATATCTGCTAGCTCTGTAAGGGTTTCAGAAATGTTCAGTAAATAGAGAAGTTGGTCTTCAGTGGTGCGGTTGAAATCATAGTTGCCTCCTAAAATTACTCCGCTCGAATCTATAAACTAATGTCAGTCATTTTTCCTTTGTGTAGCATTTCCTTATGTTAGGCACTTTTCCCTTTAATTGCTGTCCGTTTCTGTTCTTTCTCGAGCAGTACTACAATGGAATCATTTTTGTCTAATGTTATTTCAAGGTAGCCACAGAGATTTCACTATTGCAAACTGGTCAGCTTCCGCTAGACAGTATAGTGCGAGGCTGTTGGGCAACATTTTTCAAAGATCACATCGGAAAAACAGAATTTTGACAGTTTCCGACTAATAAAGAAGATATTAGGGAGCTATGGGGTTTACATTTTTTCTCTATATTTTTTTCACATCATATATATATATATATATATATATATATATATATAGATAGATAGATATAGATAGAGAGATAGATTTAGATAACATTTTAGAGAAGAGACTAGATGATAGATAGAAAGATAGAATAGATAGATAGATAGAGACTGAGATAGATAGATAGATAGATAGATAATAGATGCTCCTTTATCAATTTTCAAAGATGAGATAGATAGATAGATAGATTTGATAGATAGATAGATGAAGATAGCATTACATCTAAATAGATAGATAGATAGATAGACAAATACATGAGATGAAGATAGATAGATTGATAGATAGATAGATAGATAGATAGATCGAAGATGGATTAAAAAGACATTCATTTGGATCATTTAGATAGATCAAATAAATAGATAGATAGATGATAAAAGATAGATAGATGATAGATAGAGACTGAGATAGATTGATAGATAGATAAATAGATGCCGATGGATGAGATTCTAGATAGATAGATAGATAGATAGATGATAGAAGATAGACTGAGAAAGATATGGATGGAAGATGGATCAAGAAGAGATGGCGAAGATAGATGGATGGATGGATAGATAGAAGACTGGAGATAGATAGATGGATAGATAGATGGATGGATGGATTTCTCCAATTCTTTTCTGTTTGATAGATAGATAGATAAATAGATAGATAGATAGATAGATAGATCCGAAGAGACTGAGATAGATACAATGATAGATAGATAGATGCGAAGATAGACTGAGATAGATAGATAGATAGATAGATAGATAGATAAATGAAGAGGACTAAAGATAGATAGATGGATAGATAGATAGATAGATAGATCAAAGATGGAAGAGACTGGGATAGATAGATAGATAGATAGATAGATAGATAGATAGATAGATGCGAAGAGACTGAGATAGATAGATAGATAGATAGATAGATAGATAGATGCGAAGAGACTGAGATAGATAGATAGATAGATAGATAGATAGATGCGAAGAGACTGAGATAGATAGATAGATAGATAGATAGATGATGGATGCGAAGGGACTGAGATAGATGGATAGATAGATAGATGGATAGATAGATAGATGCGAAGAGACTGAGATAGATAGATAGATAGATAGATAGATAGATGCAAGAAGATAGATCGAAGATAGAGATAGATAGATGGAGCCTGAGATAGATAGATGGAAAGACTGAGATAGATGGATAGATAGATAGATAGATGCTAAAGACTGAGATAGATAGATAGATAGATAGATATGCAGAGATAGAGAAGAAGATAGATAGATAGATAGATAGATGGATGATAGATAGATGCGAATGACTGAGATAGATAGATAGATAGATAGAGGACTGAGATGAGATAGATAGATAGATAGATAGATAGATAGATAGATGATAGAAGAGAGATGAGATAGATAGATAGATAGATAGATAGATAGATAGATAGACTTACGTTTTTATGATTAATATTTTTATCTTTCCATGTCTTTGACTTAATTTACTTATCACATACGATGCTACAATTCCTTCGCTTTAATCTGATAGCCTAGCAAATAAGTTCTAATATATATATATATATATATATATATATATGAATTATGAATTATTACAAAACTAATGCAAAGGTTAATGATTTAAATCTAAGACATCCCATCTTGCAAACGATTCAAATAGTACACAAAAACCTCTAAATCCGTTATGAATGAGTTGATCCTTGTTTATATAAATTTCTGCCGTATTAGTTGTTATTTTTTACTACAAGCTTTCGTCTGTTCCTACAGACATCGTCAGGTATATAATAGATGTTGTTCTTGGTTTTTTCTCTTAGTAATAAAGAGGACATCGAAAATATATGTGTATTGTATCCGAAATGCTATTAAAAATGAGTTATTGGTTTTTGAACTTCAATTAATTATATATATATATATATATATCTAATAATATATATATATGTCTAATAAACATATATATATATATATATAAATATCTAATAATATCTAATATTTAATATATATATATAATATCTAATAATATATATATATGTCTAATAACATATATATATATATATATATATATATATATATATATATATATATATATATATATATATATAAGTTTATAAACAATAAATTGACCTTGCCAACCTAACGTTCCTTTGGCAGGCCCGAGAGGTTAGGCACGTCAAGCTAAATGACGGTTCTGTATAGGATGCAGGTTCGAATCCTGTCAAAAAGACGAATATTTTTATGAAAATTTCTCGGACATTCAGGCCGGTAAATGTTATTTAATACTGTTTATTATAAACAGAGCATTTACTAAAATACTTGTATCTATAAAAAAGAATGTTAAACATAAAAATTTCTTTTAATAAATTGTCGGACTTTGTCCATTTCATTATGTATATATATATATATATATATATATATATATATATATATATATATATATATATATATATATAAATGGTTATTCCTTGTTTTCGATTATGTCTATTAAAACTAAAACTTATGATTGTAAGACATGTGCTTTGAAAGGGTATTCCTTCTTAGACTGGGCAAAATGTTAAACCTATGTCACATAGTAGATATGATACATACAAACACGCACACACACACATACATATATAAGTACTACTACTACTACTGTGGCATTCACCTTGGGCGGATTGAGCCGGCTTCTTCCTGTTATGAAAAGATTCTTGGGATAAATTACAGAAGTAGGGTACCCAGGCCTACTCGAATAACGTTCTTGCTTGCCGCGGGATTCCCACAGACGCAGAGACAGGAACGACCAGAAGCCGCCGGTTACCAATGCAGACGCTCCTTGGATTTTCACCAGAGCCTTACGGTCAAATCACGCTGAAACACCGGTTCTCGTACGATCACCGAAGTTAAGCAGCGTAGAGCCAGGTCAGTACTTAGATGGGGGACCGCTTGGGAACACCTGGTACTGTAAGCCCCAAAGTCCAACCCTTACCTCACAGTCGGTGGTGTTTGTAAACGGTAGTGTCAGAGCTATGCCGCCCGGAACTTCGTTCCTGGTAGGGCCACCAAGGCGGACCGGTCTGAGGCCACACGCCATTAACAAGGGCTAAATGAAAAAAATATTTATATAAGTGTATACTGGGGTCAATACTAATCGGCACTTTTTAATGGTTGAAAACAATCTTTAGTATGAAGCATACTGTCACCACTAAACGATTGACATTGCATTTAAATTTTTGAAGATCAAATTTGATTGGAAACCAAGAAACCGGAAGACAGTTTCACACGTGAGAAGTGCGAGAGAAGAAACTGTTAGCATAGAACTTCCGGTTAAATTTAGCCATCTCAACTGTAAAATGATGTAATCTTGCCGACAATCTAGTACTGCGCTTAAATTCATAGAGCCTAGGTAACATAAAGGAGACTTCATCAGAACAATTAATATAAGAATATGTGTTGTTTAAATTATTATTTTCAGAGAAGCAATCCCCAATCGGACAAGCGAATTCATAGAAATAATCGATTTACAGAAATTTTGATATTCAATTCGGCGTACATTCGTCAGTTGGGTGCACGGGCAAAGACAAGCCGATGAAGATTTTTCGCAAAAAATCCTCTTTAGAGATGAAGTCCATTTTCATTTTAGTTTGGATTCGTTAGAATTGTCGCATTTGGACTGATGAAAATCCAAGGAAGATTGTTGAAAAGCCACTGCATTCACAAAAGGTCACTGTTTGGTGTGCATTTTTCGCTAGCAGAATCATTGGGCCGTATATTTATATATTTGAACGTCCATTATTGCAATAGGCTTCGATAACTTTAACACGTTGTTTGATTGTTAATCTTTCCATGGTTGAAATTGCCAAAAACTCATTAGATGCTTAAACTTAAATCACATTTAAAATCGGTCCAAGTTTTTTAAACAACTTTTATATGCCACAAAAACTTGAGTTTGGTGAACATATTTGGCATATTAACACAGAAGATAATATAAAATAATGAAATAGTACCACAAATTCACTATTCTATTAATGCTACACTTACACATCGCGTCCAACAGCTGATATAAAACGTGGTAACATTGATCGCAGCGCCATTTAACTCAAGCGGCCATTCAGACAACTAACTCTGGTATGCGTGTTATCTGCGCTGTTTCATGAGAGTAATGATAGTTTCATGACATATAATGGCAGTTTATTGAATATATACTTATCATGAAAGTATAATTACTGTGCATTTATGGCACATCTTTATTTTAAAGGTCACTTGAAAGTTACCATATTGCATTGCTGATTAAAACCATAATCATCAATAAAAACTTGTGGGCTTATGTAGTTTTGGCACATGTTATTGTACGAGGGTCATTCAATAAATAAGGTGAATTTTTCGGTATAAGGACTTCTAATACAGATAGAAGCTTACTTTTTTTAATTTTGTTTTGTTTTACTTCTTTTTCACATGGATTTAATTTCTGTTGCAGATTAAAAACAACTTTGAGAGTTTTGGCGATAAACAAAGATGGCCGACCAAGAAGCATGCTCCAGGATTGAACAGCAGTCAGTTATCAAGTTTTTGATTGCTGAAGGGTGCAAACCAGTTGAAATTCATAGGAGAATGTCAACTGTGTATGGTGCCACATGTTTCAGCCAAAAAAATGTCTACAAGTGGGCTAAATTGTTTAAAGAAGGACGGAGCAATGTTGAGGATGAAGACAGGCCTGGGAGGCCTACAGAAGTGAGGTCTCCTGAGGTGATCAAATCAGTCAATGACCTCATTCAGTCTGACAGAAGGGTGACAGTGGATGACATTGTAAGGACTTTGAGCTTATCTGTTGGGACAGCACACAAAATTGTTCATGATGATATTGGCTTTTGAAGGTCAGCTTATCCGAGTGGGTGCCAAAGATGCTGGCCTTACAAAGCACAAACAGAAGACCATTGAGTTGTCCCAGTAGTATCTCTCCCACTATGAGAAGGATGCCCCTTCAGACTTTCACCTGTTTGGTCCCTTGAAAACGTTCAAGAGGCACCAAGTTTAAAAGTGACGATGAAGTCAAAAGTATTTGTGAGCGACTTTTGAGACATCAGTCCAAATATTTTTTAATGTTGAGGGAATACAGAAGCTTGTGCACAAATGGGGAAATGTGTGTCCGCTGGAGACTAAGTTGAAAAAATTAAAAAAAAGTAAGTTTTCTATCTGTATTAGAAGTCCTTATACCGAAAAATTCACCTTATTTATTGAATGACCCTCGTAGATTATAGGCTAACTTCATTAACTGATAGGTCTAATCCAGAATTTTAAGCTAAAAGTTTTGATATTGACTTGTAGGCCGTAGATTAAGATAAGTAAAGGCATTACGAAAATTTATATTTATATAATATAATGGAGAAAAATGATCTGTACATAGATAAAAATCTATCGATGACCTTTTCACAAATTACTTTTCTTAATTGTTACTCTCCCAAGGAAATTTTTTTTTTTACATAAGATGGACTCGTCCAAAGTATACTTATACTGACAGAGAGAATACCTGCTGTTGAGCTACGTCGAGATACAGTCTCTAACTGTGTCCGACATCTGTCGAACTCTCTCTTTTGTCAGAGCGGAACCCAGGAGAGGCTTTGCCGAAGGGCAAAAGTTTCGTCCGGGAGGTAGAAGATTAGGCCTGAACCCGTTTATGCGGGTTCAAAGGGAAATATTTTTGGCTGAGCCTACGGGCTCGGAGAAACCCACTTTAAACTTCGGCCTTGTTTTTATATTCCTCGTGGGTGGAAATTAAATTTGAGATACGTGGAGATAAAATGGAGATACCTTGAGACAGGATAGAGATACGGAGATGGACACAGGGTGTTCTGAGAGAGAGAGAGAGAGAGAGAGAGAGAGAGAGAGAGAGATGATTACGGCTTTACTTTTACAGAGACATGTACAAATCTAAAATACTAACCCGCATTCCTAGACTACTAATCTTCACTTCAAGTCTGTATTTTTACGTTTAATACATTTATTTTTCTCTCCCAATTACTGGCGTTGTTTATCGATCAGATGCAGGATTTCATTTACGGAATCCAAAACAATAACGAAAAAAAAAGGTATCAGTAAATTTTAGATAAGTTATTTTTTTATATTTAATCCCACTCCTTTCCCATCTTCAATCAAAATGTGCTGGCATGCCTCACTAAGGAATCAAAGTGTGGATGGGGTGTTGATTTTAAATTCTTTACTTGGATTTCAGTGACTTACTCCATTTTTAGTCGTGTGTCAGAGACTTTACCCCCCATGGTTATAAATGAACAGGAGTAGAGGTTCATCCCTTGTTTCCTTTTTAGGATTGGGTTTCCAGTTCCTTTTCCTAAAGTCTTCTCATTGTATTTCACTCCCAGTAACTCCTTACGTCTTAGTGGAATTATCGTCCTGATTGCGGTGAAATGATAAAAAAAATAAGGTAACAATTTGAATGTCAAAGCAGAATTATTAGATTAGCATTTTTCTTCCCCGTGCCTATTTTGCTTAATTACCGGAAGTTTTTCTCGAAGAACGAAGTTAATTTAATAAAGGAATCTGCTTTGGTAAATTGATTTTTTTTCTTTGCTTCTTTTTATCCATCACGTGAATTCGCTTCTAAAAAAAAAAACGTTTACTTACCGAGATATACACAGAAGACCAGCTAGAAAAGAGATTTGTAACAAATGCTTTGTAGCAATTTTTATGTTAGCCTCACCCCGAATTGCACACAGGGAAACCAAATGCTGAGACGAACACACAACTCCGGAGAGATAAGGTCAAATAACTTTTGTCTTTACAAATGTCTTTCATCGATGTTCACCGCGAATTAGCTAAAAGGAAATTGAATGCTGACGAAAGACGTCGACAAACTGGGGAGGAATATTTTCTATGAAAGTCAATAACACTATTTACATTATTCGGACTATTGTCCATTTTTGTCGCCATATTTATTACAACGTATCGGCCGTTGTACGCTCCAGCCTTCTTCAGGTGGTTGGAATGTCGAACTGATGTTAAAAAGACCATGCTCACTGGGGTAGACTGTTCTAGTTCCACGTTTATGTTTAATGGATGTCAGTTAAAAATTGTTAATTCCCCTCAAAAGTTCTCCCGCTGCCTTAACCGGGTTAATTGAACTCACTCTTTGGGTCCTGTCACTGGATCTAACTAACGCCTTTATTTTTATTCCATGTGTCCTCAAGAGGGAGATAACTGATAACTGACATACATTAAAAATGGCACGTGGAACTAGAAAATGCTAAAGAAGCGAGAGCAAAATAAAGGGTTATTTCGACATTCCAATCACCTGAAGAAGGGTTGGATGTCACTGAATGAATGTAAATATAATATCACTATGTCGAAACGTCTCCGCATAAAAAAATGGCAACAAAAATTAACTGAAATAGGGGTCCGAAGATAAACCAGTAAATTACATCCACAGAAATCTCATACAATAACATAAGAATCAATTTATTGAAATATAGAGAGAATTATAAGGACAATAGTCCGAATAATGTAAATATTAGTGAAAATATAATATCAACCTTTCAGAAATATAGACAGAAGATGAGGACAATAATAATGAATAGATGTAAATAAGTGTACATAATACCTCATCTGAGAAATATAGACAGAAAGATGAGGACAATAGTCCGAATAATGTAAATAGTGTACATAATACCTCATCTCAGAAATATAGATAGAAAGATGAGAACAATAGACGGAATAATGTAAATAGTGTACATAATACCTCATCTCAAATATAGACAGAAAGATGAGAACAATAGCCCGAATAATGTAAATAGTGTACATAATACCTCATCTCAGAAATATAGACGGAAAGATGAAAAATGAAACAATAGTCGAATAATGTAAAATAGTGTACATAATACCTCATCTCAGAAATATAGACAGAAAGATGAGGACAATGGTCCGAATAATGTAAATAGTGTACATAATACCTCATCTCAGAAATATAGACAGAAAGATGAGGACAATAGTCCGAATAATGTAAATAGTGTACATAATACCTCATCTCAGAAATATAGACAGAAAGATGAAGACAATAGTCCGAATAATGTAAATAGTGTACATAATACCTCATCTCAGAAATATAGACAGAAAGATGAAGACAATAGTCCGAATAAATGTAAATAGTGTACATAATACTCATCTCAAAAATATAGACAGAAAGATGAGGACAATAGTCCGAATAATGTAAATACCAAACATAATACCTCATCTCAAAATATAGACAGAAAGATGAGGACAATAGTCCGAATAATGGAAATAGTGTTTATAATTGCCATCTCAGAAATATAGACAGAAAGATGAGGACAATAGTCCGAATAATATAAATAGTGTACATAATACTCATCTCAGATAGATAGAAAGATACAGGACAATAGTCCGAATAATGTAAATAGTGTACATAATACCTCATCTCAGAAATATAGACAGAAAAGATGAGGACAATAGACCGAATTATGTAAAATGGTACACATAATACCTCATCTCAGAAATATAGACAGAAAGATGAGGACAATAGGGAGGAATAATGTAAAAGTGTACATTCCACCACATCTCAGAAAAATAATATTGAAAATAACAATAGTCCTGAATAATTAGTGTACGCCTTTATCCATCTGAGAAATATAGACAGAAAGATGAGGACAATAGTCGAATAATGTAATAGTGTAGATAAACCTCATCTCAGAAATATAGACAGAAAGATGAGGACAATAGTCCGAATAATGTAAATAGTGTACATAATACCTCATCTCAGAAATATAGACAGAAAGATGAGGACAATAGTCCGAATAATGTAAATAGTCTACATCTCAGAAAATAGACAAAAGATGAAATCTCAGAAATATAGATAGAAAGATGAGGACAATAGTCAAGTCCGAATAATGTAAATAGTGTACATAATACCTCATCTCAGAAATATAGAGAAAGATGAGGACAAGTCCGAATAATGATGAAATAGTGAAGAAAGATGAGTACAACTCATCTCAAAAATAGACAAAAAGATGAGGACAATAGTCTGAATAATGTAAATAGTGTACATAATACCTCATCTCAGAAATATAGACAGAAAGATGAGGACAATAGTCCGAATAATGTAAATAGTGATCCATAATACCTCATCTCAGAAATATAGACAGAAAGATGAAAGGTGTGAATTACAATAAGGAAGATGAGGACAATAATAATGTAAATAGTGTACATAATATTTCATCTCAGAAATATAGACAGAAAGATGAGGACAAAGTCCGAATAATGTAAATAGTGTACATAAAAATCCAGAAATATAGACAGAAAGATGAAACAATAGTCCGAATAATGTAAATAGTGTACATAATACCTCATCTCAGGAAATATAGACAGAAAGATGAGGACAAAGTCCGATTAAAAAATAGAATAATGAAATATAGTGAAAAGAATAATCTACTAAGAATGTATAATACCTCATCTCAGAAAAATATAGACAGAAAGATGAGGATATGGCAATGAATAATGTAAATAGTGTACATAATACCTCATCTCAGAAATATAGACAGAAAGATGAGGACAATAGTCCGAATAATGTAAAAATAGTGTGATAATACCTCATCTCAGAAATATAGACAGAAAGATGAGGACAATAGTCCGAATAATGTAAATAGTGTAAAACATAATACCTCATCTCAGAAAATAGACAGAAAGATGAGGACAATAGCCTGAATAATGTAAATAGTGTACATAATACCTCATCTCAGAAATATAGACAGAAAGATGAGGACAATAGTCCGAAATAGTGTACATAATACCTCATCTCAGAAATATAGACAGAAAGATGAGGACAATAGTCTGAATAATGTAAATAGTGTACATAATACCTCATCTCAGAAATATAGACAGAAAGATGAGGACAATAGCCCGAATAATGTAAATAGTGTACATAATACATCATCTCAGAAAATATAGACAGAAAGATGGGGACAATGGTCCGAAATAATGTAAATGTTTGTACATAATACAATTTAAATGTCATAATCATCTCAGAAATATAGACAGAAAATGATGAGGACAATAGCCCGAATAATGTAAATAGTGTACAGAATACCTCATCTCAGAAATATAGACAGAAAAATGAGGACAATAGGTAGAATTATGTAAATAATGTAAAGTGTACATAATACCTCATCTCAGAAATATAGACAGAATAATGAGGACAATAATTCGAAAATAATGTAAATAGTAAATAATACATAATCCTGATCTGAGAAATATAGACAGAAAGATGAGGACAATAGTTCGAATAATGTAAAAATAGTGTACATAATACCTCATCTCAGAAATATAGACAGAAAGATGAGGACAATATTCCGAATTATGTAAATAGTGTACATAATACCTCATCTGAGAAATATAGACAGAAAAGATGAGGACAATAGTCCGAATAATGTAAATAGTGTACATAATACCTCATCTCAGAAATATAGACAGAAAGATGAGGACAAAATAGTTCGAATAATGTAAATAGTGATACTGAATAATACCTCATCTGAGAAATATAGACAGAAAGATGAGGACAATAGTCCGAATAATGTAAATAGTGTACATAATACCTCATCTCAGAAATATAGACAGAAAGATGAGGACAAAGAATAATGAATAATGTAAATAGTGTACATAATACCTCATCTGAGAAATATAGACAGAAAGATGAGGACAATAGTCGAATAATGTAAATAGTACATAATACCTCATCTCAGAAATATAGACAGAAAGATGAGGACAATAGTCCGAATAATGTAAATAGTGTACATAATACCTCATCTCAGAAATATAGACAGAAAGATGAGGACAATAGTCCGAATAATGTAAATAGTGTACATAATAATCATCTCGAAATAAATATAGGACAACAATAAAAAGATGTGGACAATACCTCATCTCGAAGAATAATAGAAAGATGAAAATAAATAATGTACATAATACCTCATCTAAAAAATATAGACAGAAAGATGAGGACAATAGTCCGAATAATGTAAATAGTGTACATAATACCTCATCTGAGAAATATAGACAGAAAGATGAGGACAATAGTTCGAATAATGAAAAAATGGTGTACATAATACCTCATCTGAGAAATATAGACAGAAAGATGAGGACAATAGTCCGAATAATGTAAATAGTGAACATAATACCTCATCTCAGAAATATAGACAGAAAGATGAGGACAATAGTCCGAATAATGTAAATAGTGTACATAATTCTCATCTCAGAAATATTTTTCAAGAAAGATGAGGAATAGAAAATGTAGGACATAAATGAGAAATATAGAATAGTGAGGAAAAAATAGTAAATATGTACATAATACCTCATCTCAGAAATATAGACAGAAAGATGAGGACAATAGTCCGAATAATGTAAATAGTGTACGGAATAATACCTCATCTGAGAAATATAGACAGAAAGATGAGGACAATGAGTCTGAATAATGTAAATAGTGTACATAATACCTCATTTCAGAAATATAGACAGAAAGATGAGGACAGTCCGAACGTTTAAATAGTGTAATATAATTTCATGAAATATACAGAAAATAGTCCGAATTTTGTAATAGGTCACATAAGACCTCATCTGAGAAATATAGAGTGAAAGATGAAGGACAATAGGCATAGAAAAGATGAATAATGTAAATAGTGTACATAATACCTCATCTGAGAAATATAGACAGAAAGATGAGGAAAATAGTCCGAATAATGTAATTTGTACATAATACCTCATCTGAGAAATATAGACAGAAAGATTGAGGACAA